AATTGGCAGCGAATTTCGATATGATTCCAAGGCAAAAGTTGTTCAGTTTATTTTTCTGTATAACATACTTTTTTTTCAGATTTTTCTGAGGACCTTTTTTTTTTTTTTTTTTTGGTGTTCGGGCTCGGACAGACTGCCCGGGGAGGACGTCCGACCAGTTGTCCGATCGGACAACCCCGGACGGTCAGGGGGGTCCCGGACGTCCGATCAGGTAACCTAGAAAATTTGAAAATTTTGAAAAACAGAAAAGAAGAAAATTTACCGTCTGGAAAATGAATTAAATAACGTCGAATTGAAAAAGCGAAGATTGGAAAAGAGTTCAGAAGACAAATATCCCCAACCAGGGGTCCTGTTGGGTCTATTCTGACTGGAATTTCATTGCCACCTCTGCAGCCGAATAGAACGCATGGTCATTATCGATGTACCTGGACTGAAAATTTGCCCAAATACGGCCATGATAACTGTGCATTCGATTCGGGTGAAGACGATAGGCCTTACTGTATTGACTTCTATCATTTTCTATGTCTATTTGTCTTCACTGTGGTCCTCTCTCTTTCTCTGTACGTATGCCTTTGACTCTATGTCCATGTCTATGTCTTCGTCTATGTGTACGTCCTAACCATGTTGATGTCCATGTCCATGCGTCTATTACTTTGTCTCTCTGGCTACATCTCTATCCTCACTAGGATGGTCCTTAAACTCCTTGCCATGAATACGTCTATGTGGCTATGTCTCTCCCTAGGTCCTTTACCATGTCTATATAATATATATCTATATGCATCTGTGTGTCTATGCATCTGGGTTGATGTCTATGTGTATCTTGCTTTGTGTTGATGTCTCTGTGTCTATGTCTACGCCATGTCCTTATCATGTTTATCTCCTTACAATGTCTGCCTCCTGCCATCTATGTCTATGATGTTTATGTCTATGTTGTCTGTGTCTACGCGGGCTATGTCTATCTACATCTATTGAAAAATGTTACGATGCCTATGCAGTAGTTCTTTTCATGCCTATGGCTCAATGTATGGACATACAGACATAACCGTCAAACACCGGAGCTAACTCCCAAAGCATATAAGCACTGACCAAGTGACAAGTGCCCTGCCCGAGCAGGCAAAATGCCTAAGCGTTAGGTCACATCCCTCTCTCTCTCTCTCTCTCTCTCTCTCTCTCTCTCTCTCTCTCTCTCTCTCTCTCTCTCTC